GCCGGGGGCAGGGGCGGGGGTGGGGGTGGGGGCTTGCGTGCCACTGTGTGCATGTGGAGGTCAGTGGACAACAAAGATAATTTGAAAATTAAAAAAATAATTTAAAAAAATAAAATGAAGGGCTGGAGAGATGACTCAGCAGTTAAGAGGAACACTGGCTGCTCTTCCAGAGGACCTGCATTCAGTTCACATAGTGACTGACAACCATTAATAACTCCAGTTCCAGGGGACTTAACACCCTCTTCTGGCCTCTGAGGGGACATTGCATGCATGGGTACACTTACATGCAGGCAAAACACTCATACACATAAAATAAAAAATTTAAAAATATGAACCAAAAAGAATTTAAAAATAATATAAAAGAGAAAATCTCTTTAACAGGTGTCATTGTAGTTGGCATAAAATCCTCCTCTTGTTCCTTTTGCATCATAAGTCTATGCTTTTTAACTCTGTGTTAAGGCCCTTACCTCAAGGTGAAATTGAATAGTCATTTATGGGACTATTTGTTGAGGTAAAATTATATAATCATTTATGGTACTATTTGTTGACTGCACACATCTGATCCTCCTTGTAGTCACAGATTAGATTTAGTTCTTTACTGTACCCAGCCTTTTCAGAGCAGCAGAGTTGGAAGAGTGCTTACCGCATTGGCTGGGACATTTTTCCCGCCACAGATGTATTGGGTTTTGCTAAGTAATGAAGCACAAAACACAACCTTCCAACCTCCCAGTGGCCTATAAAGCAAATATTCTCCACTGTGTGTGTGTGTGTGTGTGTGTGTGTGTGCGCGCGCGCGTGCGCGCGCGCGCGCAAACCACTGCCTCCCAAGGTGTGGCTGACCTCAGGGTTCAGCTGCAATGGGCTTTATCCTCTCAGATCTGCTTGTCATTCAAGGCGGCAGAGGAGATGGTCACCTGAGTGTTCCTTTAAACAAAGAAGACCTCTGGGCTGGTGGCACAATACCTTTAATCCCAGCACTCAGGAGGCAGAGGCAGGTGGATCTTTGTGAGTTAAAGGATGGCCTGGTCTACATAGCAAGTTCCAGGGCAGCTGGGGCTATGGGGAGACCCTGTCTCAAAAAACCAAAACCAAACCAACAAACAACCCCCAAAAATGTCAGGCAAAAATGTTATTTCATCACACAAAAAAGGTGGAGGGGGTTGATCAAGATGTATAAAAGGCACAAAAATTAAATTTTTTTGAAATCTAAAGAGTCATTTCGTCGTTCTGATGCTTACGAACTTTTCAGAACTAATTTCATCAGCTCAGTCAAAACATGCCAGAACGCACTTTTCCACATGCAAACAGATTGTCTTTACAGAGGAGGCAGACAGTAATACAGACAGGATGAGTGAAGACCTGGCACATGTGGCCTTCATGCAGTGGGCAGCAGTGCCGATTAGTGAAAGCTAGCATGCTGTGAACGTCAGTGACAGCTTTATCGCTTCAGGACATAACCTGGTGATAGAGTGCTATTATTAGTTCCCTGAAAGCACAAAACAGACAGGATTGAAGTATACACTTAAGAGCTGCGCAAACAGGCGCTGGGGAGATAGCTTAGCAGTAAAGAGCACTGCCTGCTCTTGCAGATTCCCAGGAGCGCCCACGTGGCCACAACACTTGGCTGTAACTCCAGTTCCAGGGGATCCAACGCCCTCTTCTGACCTCCGAGGGCATTACAAGACATAGGTGCACCTACATACATGCAGGCAATACTTAACACACAAAAATAAAAAGTATTCTTTAAAAAGAAAATACCTTGGGAGACGTTAAATCAGTATTGGTTACTATTACAACTGTGGTTGTGTAGAATTGCCACTAGAAAATGCAAGTAGTCACAATATTCCTTAAATGTTTACTTCCGTGCCTGTTACAAGCATTACTTACATAGTCTTCCCATAAGCCCACAAGGAAGGTCATGCCCTAATTTCAGATGTTATTCACCTGATTTTACAAGACAGAACTGTAGTAAAGCAACACAAGGGCTCTAAGGCAGCGTGATGGTGCAGCACAGCTGAGTGTATCATAGAAGCGGAAAGGACTTCCCAAGCCCTGAGCCTGAGGGCAGGCAAAGGCCGAGCGAGTGCAGCACAGGAAACACAAGATTTTAAGTGCACTGAGCAGTAACTCTTACAAAGATGTTTGTAAAGCGCCAAATCGCTCCTCAGGAGCATCAAGCGCAATCTAGTCTAGGGTTACGGTGGCGAGCAAGCAGGGTGTACCTGGATAAAGGCCCAAGGGCCCTGAATTAGGCTGCCAGATCTTGGGCTCTGGGATTGAGCTTTTTCCTGGGTGACTAGGGTTGCTCCTTACACTCCAAATCAAAGATGGCAGTTTTTCATTTGTTCTGCAAATACCTAGCACTGTCCATAAACAACGCCGCAGCCATGCGGAACCACGGCCTTTCACTCCCAAGCGCTGCGTTGGGTACCTGCTGCAGCGCATAGCGAGCAAATGCCTGGGGCACCTGCCCAGGAGCCAGAAGGAACATCGGCATCAGCGCCTGGGCCGCGCGCGCCCAAGGGCAGGTCTGGTCCACGCACATGCACACGCACGGGAACGCCGGCTCCCGCGTTCCCGGCGCAGTGCCGCGGCCGGGCGCAGGCAGGAGCCCAGGAGCTAGAGCGGGAGGCGGGCACTGTAAGCGGGGCGGGTGCCCGCGAACCAAGCTTGAGCGTACCCTCGCCAAAAGGGGAAGGCCCGCCCTCACCCCGCCCATCCCTTCTCCCGCGCGCGGGCTCCGCGCGCCCCAAGTCGCGCGCGTGCGTGCGCGTGCGCAGGCCAGGGCCCTCTGCGGGCGGCCCCGTGCAAAGCGTCCGCAAGGTCTCACATTAACCCTTTCCTGCTCGCACAGAAAGAGGCCCAGTCAGGTTCCGTGCCTGCGCAAGCGGCGGCGCGCCTCCCCCCCAGCCCGCACCGCGCATGCACGGGGAGGGGGGGCGGTGGGGGTGTCTGCTGCCGGCTAGACATTCTGTGCTCGTGCTGGAGGAAGGCTGCTAGCATCAGAGACGTGCACGACTCCCCCTACCCCGCCCCCTCCCCAAACTCCAAAAAAAAAAAAAAAAAAAAAAAACCACAAACCC